GGGGGGGGGGGTAAAGGTTACAAAAAACGCCACGTTTCCATGTTTTTTCTTTACTCTTTCCATTGGAAATTGAGGAACTTTCAAACAAAAAGGGAGCAAACTGCCATCTATTAGGTTTTTTTTTTTTATTAATGGGGTGTCCAGACACCCAAATTCACCCTCTAAATAACACAGAACACACTAATTAAAACTAATTTATCTTAATTAATCCTCTTTATCTTCCAGTTTTACATCACAGCCGTTAAACAGTTAAACAGTGTTGGTTTTTGTCATCAGGCCCAGTTTAAAGTTAAACTGACAGTAAAAATAAGTGTTTTATGTGATGTTTAGCACCATTTTTTCACTTTTCTCTAGGTGTTTTTTCTTTACTTACCAAGATTTGGAGAATAAGTAGCCATCATTTGGATCCTTTCTACCTTTCCTTTGAGAAAAATGAATGAAAAATTGATGCTGATATGATCCAAATGTTGGCTAATAAGCCAAAATGTAGTCATTGTTGAGCATGTAAGACTCTATATTGGGTAATTAAATTTAAAAAACGTATTTAGAATAGTTTATAATGAATGCAACTTAAATTTTTTAAAATAAAACTCATTCATTGACCTTCCCGAAGGCCTCCTGCATTCCCCAGCCGAGGCTTCATTAGAGGCCTGCTGATGAATTCCTGGACGGAGTTCTGAACTGTCCAGCCTGAATTATCTCTTCCATTCCCTCCTGAAACCGCCTGGTGGTGAGTTAAATAAGCTCTGCCGGGCTTCAGTAACCTTTTCCACCACTTGAGGACACAGTGAGACTCCACTAAGGCTCAGGGACAGGTTAAGAGACCAGAGGGGGGGGGGGGGGGTACTCACTGGAACTCACTGTACAAACAGGAACGCTGCAGAACACTAAAGGCAGCAAATAAATGAGCGTTCAGTCGGAGGATTCTGTTTCGGTGGCCAAGAGGTTCCACATAGAAAGAGGAAGAAGTCAGCTCCTCTTTTCTCTCAAAAGACTTTAACCTTTTGGATGAGAAGTCATCTTTGTATAGTTTCTCCTCCCAGCCACATAATTCTACCACAAAAAGCTTTTAGCCGAGTTAAAACCTCAGAAGTTTAGCAGAAAAACGTCTTTTCAATGTGGTTTTTACGCTTTTTCCGGCCCATTTAGCCATTTTAAAACACAAAAAGTGCATGGGTGTGCTCCTAAAAGATACAAAGCTGCTCTCTTATCCTGCACAGATCAGCCGGGGACCCAGAGGTGGAGACTGTCTGTCCCCTCGGGGCGGAATATGCGGCTGAGAGCTTCCCAGAAACCGCTGATAATATCAGCCAATCATTCTTTACTACGCCAACCAGCATGTCGCCGTTTCGCCCGCAGATTTAGATTAATAGCAGACATAAAAACAAATGCAAGTTGCAGGAAAAGAGACAAATAAAGAGGTCAGAGCCCAGAGAGAAAGCGGTTTGCGTAAAAAACGAAGCGCAAAACTTCCCCCAAAAACTCTGCGCAAGATGTGACAGCAGCGCGCACTGGCGCAGTGGGTCAATGAGATGCGGCACGCGCACGACGCGCACGCGGAGCGGCCGCAGTTTCCTCGTTTGTGTCAGCCGAATCAACACAAATGCGCGTTTTACGCACACGGAAAAAAAACAGCCAAAACGTCTAAAAACAGCCAAAATGTTGCATGCACTGCGTCTTTTCTCCATCAAACACAGTTTTTAAAAAGTTTTAAGTATTCCCTCTTACCATGAATTGGAGTTTGACGTCTCGAGGGAAAGTTTTGAGGTGAAAAAGGTGCGCGTAACGGAGCAGTGGACGGACTGTGCGCAGGTGGAGGGTTTGGGAGAGGCAGTGCCCGCGGAAGGGTCGCGCGGCCAGTTATCTGGGGCTTGTTTGTTATGGACTCAGAGAACAAGTGGGACGTCCCACTAAGGGGAGGCGGTCACGTGGTTCCCATCAAAACACTCCGAAGAGAACAACAAGTTCTTGAGGTTCCCAGTAGGTCATCCTCCAAAAAATACGCACCGAAAGCGCGCAATATCTCCCCAAAAACGCGCAAAGTTTGGACAAGTTTTAAGTTTGTTGGTTCTAATTCTGGTTAAGTTTGTTGGTTTAATTCCAAAAATGTTGCGTAAACATGCGTAAAAAGTGGTTAAAAGCTTTCTTACCGTTTTTGTATAACGCAGAAATCCGCAGGTTTTTAGGAATCCGCTCCAGAGCTGCTTCTGCCTCACTCTGCCTCACTGCTCCCTCTGGGCGGCCAGAAGTAGGTCAAATATCTTGGCAGTGGCCGCCATTTCCCCTTTTCCCCTCGAATGTGACACACATTCTGGTGAGGTGGAGCTCCGGCGTCACGTTTTGTCCTGGCAGGCTGCCCGCGGCCCCCGGTCACGTTGAGCTGCAACGTGACCGTCTCTCTGCTGCCTCCGGGGGCCAAAAGCAGCCAGAGGCCGGGGAAAAGGAGCCTACGTGTCGGGCTTATGCAAAAGAACCACCAGATATAAGTAAAAAAACGAGAATTTAGCGCAGAAACCCGGATCTAAACACACCAACTGGACTTTGATATGTTCATTTATGCCGTTGTACACTTTTTGTGGCCAATTCTTTTGGTATTTTACTAGAATTAGAAATCAAATGTTGACCCATAAACAAATCTAGCTCATCATATTTGAGAAAATTTGTCTTTTTTTTACATTAAACTGATCATTTTTATTTTTTTTAACTTTTCTTTTACTGTGGGGACAAAACAATCAACTGAAGATAAGAGATTTTCTTTAGGTTTTTAAGCTTCCAGTCTGTTTAATGAGGGAGTTCTGGGCAGCCAAACAGGTGTTTTTCCATGTTTCACAAACATTTCCATAAAAACTAAACTCTTAGAGCTCAGAATTTTGCAGACAGGCCCCATTTTCCTCCCAAAAGCAGAGAGGTTTTTCTAGGTTAACAACATCAAACCTGAGAGCAGCAGACTGGCCACAAAAGAGAAGAAATCTATTATAAATATGGACTTTTTCTCAACTGGATGATCCATTTTTGGGCGATAAAGCCAAATAGAAGAGACTTTAGCTCAATTATTTGGTCGTCGGCACACCTCTATTCCACATTAAAGATTGACGGTAAAACTTGGGGAAAAATCAAATATAGCCTTTCAGATTCTGTGCCTCTTCCTCCAGTAATAGAAGAGCAGGTAGGGAACAAACTGGCATTTGGTTCAGATGAAATCAAGCCCAAAAAACAGGAAAAGAGGAAATTAACTTTAAAACTAGTGAAGATGCTGGTGCCCCCCCCAAAAAACACACCTTTGCTCTGTATGTGTTTCTGTTCTACCTCCACACCGTCTTTAGCAAAGTCAAAACTCCCGTTTATGTCATTAAGATGCAACAAATAAAACAGAAAATTCTCCTAATGCTTCCCAGCCTCTGTGCCAGGTCACTGGACCCAAAAAAAAAAAAAGTAGGTCATTTAAGAACTTATGTAACATGTTAAAGTAGAATCAGGAGGAAAACAGGACGGTTTGCTCGTTTAAGTGACCTGTATTGGTGTATTTGGCTGAATGATGCATTCACTGGCACTCGGCAGCCCCCTGTTCCAGAAGACAGATCTAAAAAAAACAATGTGCTCACAGCTAAAACTTTTCTAGGTCAAACGAGACTGGAAAAAACATCCTGCTGTTCCGGTTGTGGCCAGCAGGCGGCGGTGTGGCGTCTTAGTTAAGTCTTCCGGTTCAAATCATCTTAAAAAAGTTGGTAAATCTAATAGAAAAACATTTAACCACACGGAGAAGTCAAACCCTTTGAGTTGTTGAGTTGTTTTTTAAGGGGAGACCGAACAGTTGTGGGTTTTTTAAAAGGAAAACACAGATTATTAAAGCGACTTCAAATCCTAATCTGAATATGGACTTTCCCATCTGGCTGTCAAAGGTCTTTGTGTGACGTCCATGGAGAGATGTTAATTATTTGGTGTGTTATCATTAAGATTTTTCATGTACATGATAAAGATTGTGATGTTTTCAGTCTAAATTCTGATTAGTTGGGATGAAAAAAGTCTTTGGTTTGTCACCACTTACAGGAAGGAATACAATTAAAACGCAAAATCTAAAAAAATGTTTCAATTTTTCTTGGTTTTAAAGGGTAAAATCGTACATTTTCACCCTTAAATAGCAGTGAAAATGCAAAACTGAATGTCCAGAAATCTCCAGGTTTTCTCCTTTTTCTCCATCTTTAAAAACAAAAGCAGCTGGATTGTGATTATTTGAAGCTGTACAAACTCACATTTATTCAAAGTCAGATATGACAAACACCAATAAATAAAAATCAATTAAAAACTCACCACAGAAAGAATTACTGAGATTTCAGTTCACATTCATTTTACATTTGTGTGGCTCAACAACAAAAAACAACGTTAAAAGCAAATTAAAGGACTAAATCTGAGAGTTGGAACCACTCACATGTGACGGCACCTCCAGGACATTATCAGCTTTATTTTTACCTGTTTTGGCCTTCAAGTCCACAAAGATTTAACCGAAAACCTAAACAAACACAAAGTTCTGCAAAAAAAAGAGGCACGATTTAGTTTACAGTCATTAATCGGACGAGAAATAAGACACAAACCTGTAAGTGTTCAAGTGAAAAGCAGAAAAAAGGAATGCTGAAAGAACAAAGGGACGCATAGCCAAAAGTCACAGTTTTAGTTTCTGACCCGGATTTTTGTACAAAAAAAGAAAAGACAAAAAAGAAAAGAGTGCAATTCTTCTCATTTGAACCGAAAAGACTTAAATGTCTCTGAAGCTCCCAAAGCTGAGCCGGGAGGAGAATCTCCGTCCGACTGGGCGCTAAAATATTTACAGACACCCGGATGAAAGGATGAGAGCCAGATGTGGTACCTCCACATCTGGCGCCATTACAGGTGGCATCGTAACAGCTTTCGGCGCCACATCTAATGGCGTAACCACAGATGTGGCGTCACATCTGGCACCTCCATATGTGGCGTTGTCACATCTGGCGCCATCACAGGTGGCGTGGGAACATCTAATATGGCGCCGCCACATCTGGCAGCCTCACAGCTGTGGCTCCGTAACATCTGGCAGCTCCACATCTGATGGCGTAAGATCTGGTACCTCCACATGTGGCGCCATTACAGGTGGCGTCTGTTATGGCATCTCCACATCTGGTAGAGTCACAGCTCTGGCTCTGTAACATCTGGCTCGGCCACATCTGTGGCCACTACAGATGTGGGGTCACATCTGGCTTCTCCACATCTGGCGGCATCACATCTGGTTCCGTAACATCTGGCGCCACCACATGTGACGTTGTCATATCTGGCGCCATTACAGTTGGCGTCGCCACATCTGGCAGCTCCACATCTGATGGCGTAAGATCTGGTACCTCCACATCTGGCGCCATTACAGTTAGTGTTGTAACATCTGTGATGGCGGCGTCACATCTAATGGCGTAACTACAGATGTGGTGTCACATTTGGCGCCGTCACAGTTAGCGTCGGAACATCTGTTAAGGTGCCGCCACATCTGGTGTCGTAACAGTTGTGATGGCGGCGTCACATGTGTGGCACCTCCACATCTGGCGCCATTACAGTTGGCGTGCGTTGTAACATCTGTGATGGCGCCTCCACACCCGGTCGGCGCCATCACAGCTGGCGGCGCCGCGCCCGCCTCTCTCTCCAGGCGTCCCGCAGCTCCCTGACCAGCAGGGGGCTGATGAACAGGATCCCGGCGCCCGTCTGCACACACATGACCACATGACCACATGATCACATGACCACATGACCAAACGCCATCGTTAGCGGACGGGCGCCGCCAACATGGCGGCCTCGGCGACGGCGGCGACGTTTCTCACCATGACGATGAAGAAGTAGAACACGCTCATCCAGCCC